ATATTACAAAAATGAATATAACGGTAAGGGTGAAATGAAATGGATTATTAGTGTATTGTTTACTTTTTATCAAAAATTACGAATATACTTATTTATTCTCCAGTACTATAGCATCGACCATTTCTTTTTTTCTCTTTTAGGATAAGCGATTATAATAATCAATCACAGAGGATAAATGATATCTCAATTTAAAACATATGACAATAATTATAAAAAAGAAAAGAAAATATATTATCATAAAATTACGCGTAAGATGAAATAATATATTTTTTTTTAAAGAAATAAATAGATTTTTTGACAATGTTCAATTTGGTCTCTTTTCCATATACCAACAATTATATCTTGTATATAAGAAAACAAATTGTAATTATCAAGATTACATGGGAACTTTACAATAGAAAGGGGAAATTGCCGGAAAAAATCAATTTTACTTCGATATTAATTCATATTTTATTTTTCCCGGTAGTATATCCATTACATTATTCAGTTTATGGGAACTTGGATTTTCTGCCACATGATTTACTGGTATATTTTTTAAAACATGGATTTTTAAGGAAGGCATACAAAGGGTGATTACAGTTTAAATTAGGAAAACATATACTTTTTTTAGTTATTTTCAATTTATCATGGGAAGATTTCCAAGAAAATCTGTTTCCAAGAAATTTTTGACTAAAATTAAGAGCTTAATGCTAATAATAAAAATATCAATTTTGTTAAAAAATTCCCGGAACCTAATTTTCCTTGCAATCAACCCATATTTTCTAATTAGTGAAATACAAACAAAATATACAACTATAAAATACGAAAAACTCATGCTCGATATCGAAAGTCATAACTATCCCAATGGAAAAGTGGTAACGGAATGGAATTGCCGATAGATGAGATTACTTTAAAATCATTCATTCAATAAGACTTATCAACATTTTTCAATTGCTTAGTAAAGGCATATTTTATTTTACCAAAAAGTTCTAGGTTCTGATTTAAACTGTAAGATCATTCACATTAAAGTACAACCACGACCAGAAATTTAAAAAAATTGGCATGTTTAACCCAATTTGGAAAAATGACTTAAAAATCATGATTGTTCATTTTCAATTGGGAATGTCATTCCAAAATATATAAATCCCATTGTGTTAATATATCGTTATATGCTTGTTTTGTTACTAAATTAGCGAAAGAAAAAATGGATCCGTGGTGCAAGAATATTCGAAATTCTTGTGAAGTCTTTTGTATAACAAACTTCAACCGAAGGTGAGGGTTTATATTATTACCATTACAAGACGTGAAATACTGTTTAACAATTTTTTTTATAGAAAAGCAAAGGCTAGAATAATTACAAACGAAGGCGTATCAACTTTTCTTATAAAAAGAGCACTTATGAATGTTGTAGAAAATTATAAGCATCCTCTTCAGAAATGTCACTCAAAGATTTTGAAGAAACTTTTGATGTTTTCTATAAAAATCCTCAAAAATTGTCAAATTTAACTTTTGAAGAATTAGAAAAATTAGTAGATCTAGCAGTTTCTCAAAAACCCAAAAACAATAAACGTCACACTTTCTTAACTTCTAATAAAAATGGCAATATTGAAAAAACAATTCTCAATAAAGTTCCTTTAGAAAAATTAACGAATTTTATTTCAACTCTAAATTTTAAGGTTGATAAAAAAAATTGAAATTAGTTTCCGTCGGCAACTAAAAATATAATTTAATTTAATTGGCAAAATCATCATTGAATATTTCTTTGGCAAAATTGGCGATACAAATATTTAACGTGTAATTTTAAATAGCAAAATCATCAATTGTTATTTCTTTGGTAAAATTGGCGGAGATAGCAAATCTTTTATTTTTCGTATTTTCTGCATTATTTTTTATATTTTAATTTATTTATAAGATTTATAATTTTTTAAGATTTTAAGGTAAAATTTATAATTTTTATTATAATAAAATCACGTGATAAGTTCGATAA